CCTTGCACATCTAATTCTGGCCACACTTCCGAACAATAGTGAATCATCTTAACTTTATCTAATCCTTCTGTGGCTTCTATAGAGTCCCATTTCTCTAATAGTTCACCTAGGGGACTATGGGGAGGTATATTCCTCAGTCTCTGGCCACTTTTCTTACTATTGCACCTTCCCATTTTTTTCTGGCCTCAAAAAAAAATCACAAAGATGCCTTTACTCTAAAGGAAATATATCTTATTTAAGAAGTCCCGACCTCCTTTGCCGAAACTCCAATTTCTCTGACCCTTTTCATCAGGACTTTGTTGAGATCTTGGCCTCTCTTGCCAAGACTCAACAAACAAACAAAACAAAAAAATCCTTGATACCCTGATCTCTGAGGTTGTATGCCTGGCCTCCTTTTTCAGGACTTAGAGAGATCTCGGCCTCCCTTGCCAAGACTCAACCAACAAAACCTCGAGACCCTGGCCTCTGAGGTTGTATGCCTGACTTCCTTCGTCAGGACTTTGTTTGCCTGCAGGGCTTTTAAACTTTCCCGAATCCTTCTAGGGACTTGTGAGTTTGCCTAACATCTCTTGTCAGGACTTAAAACAAAAGTATTGCCTGATTTTCAGTTTGCCTGACCTTCCCCTGACAGGACTTACGCTTCAGGACTTGGAAAAACTCGAGACAGGCTTCCTCTGCCAGACCTCGTGCCTTACCTCCATCGTCAGGACTTAAAAACAAAACTGCCTGATTTTCTAAATCGCCTAACTTCCTTCATTAGGACCTGTATCAGGGCTTTTGAGGTGCGTGCCACTCACACAGCTATTTCCTCCGCATGCCCGGAAGGGGGTCCTCTTTACTCCTTTGGAGGTGCCTCAATCACCAATTCCACTCACTTCCCCCTGTTCCCGGCCGGCCCCCTCGCGGGGGTGTTGAACCGCGGTACTGAGGGGTCCTCACTCGCTTCGAGGGGCCGAGCTGCCGGCCCTCGTCTCACACACACTCGCTCACCTCCCTCTCCCGCCGCCGGATATTCTCACCAATCCGGTGCTACTCCGTGTCACTGTCCCAAGACGATCTTCTCTGGTCCCGATAGCCAGCTGTCCTGCAGGTCCAGGGTGGGCGGCCATCCCAGGCCTGGTGTCGTCTTCAGGCGTGGCTCTCCCGGACGAGTCCCCCAAGCTGAAATAAATGGGCAGGAGATCTTTCTCCTTTTTAATGCCTTTATTAAAAAGAAGAATCAGCTCAGGTGGGGAGAAATCGACGGGTCGCGCCCACACGGCCGTTGCTCCCAGACATGGCACGGAGGAGGAGGGTGATGCAGCTTTGTCCACCGGTCTGCAGGCATAGCTGGGGATTCCGTCCTCACGAGAGATTAGCAGATTCCGCCTTTTCGGTCCAACATCTCGGGTAGTCTTTCTAGTCAACATCTTTTCAGGTTAGGATGAAAAGCAAAAAGGATCCAAGCAGGCACTGGACTACGCTCCCATCCTTAGACATCACTTAGGTCACTTAGTTCTATGTTGGCTCGTAATTTTTAGGGGTTTTCCTGGAAAACTGCAAAATTTGATGCAATGCATTTCTCATCTGCATACTAACTCTGATGCCACTCCCATTATCCTGGTATCTGCAGGGTCCTGGTGTCCCTCCCTGGCAAGCATCAGGGGGAGAATGGTTAATCACCAACCATTAACAGGTAATTGAAGAAGAACTCTTAACAATGAAGCTAACTTAACAGCACTGGACTAACTTGTTTTACTCTGCAACCTTAAAAAAAATAGATAACTTTTTATTCATAACACTGCCCACTTCAGCACCATGGTCTGTGACTGCACTCTGGAGGAAAAATGGGAGAGGGGACCTGTGAGATGGCAGAAGAACCAAGTCCATAGAGGTTCATGCTGACACTTTTGCAGAATAAGGGGGAAAATGGCCAACTTCCAGTTAGGGTGTCCAGGTTTTCCTGCCATAACTAGTGATGATGTACATGATATAGAATAACTTTGTCACATCCACAGAGTGCTACAACTCCACTCCCTCTCTGTAAGCAGAACAATATCACTTTGCTCGTGATGGGTATCCACTGTGTGCCAGTACTGCCTAAACTGCCCACTGGGTCTGACCGGAGCTGGGTGGGTGAAGTTCCCAAAATTTGGGAGATCCAACCCTGCTATCTGGACTGGGGGGACCTGCTGGAGACTGAAATGTTATTGTTTATGACTTAAACATTTTCATTAATAACTTTTGCCTATTATAGCAAAACTGCATTACAAAAGCTGCAAAGAAGACCACCATACCTGAATAGGCTGTCTGACTGGGGCCCTGAACTGTTCACGGATGGAAATAAGATAAAGTGAACTCAGGTCTGGGAAGAAAAGGATATATTCACACAGGGATAAAGCTTAACACCTTCTGAGTGGAGACCAAAGCCCCAGGGCTATCAGCTGCCCGGTTCCCACAGGTCCTCACACCAAAGGGTGGGAGGAAAAAGGCTTTAGGTGTGTGAAGAAAAGACGTCTGCTCTAGGCAGTTAACACCCACCCTCTACTGTGCGCAGGACCCCAAGCTGCAGGGGCCCTTCATCCCAGGAAAAGCTTATACACAGCACAAGGGGTGTCATGGCCCATCAAAGGCCCCCCCCCCCAAGGAGTCCCCAGACCCTGCACCAGAACACTGTAGATGATGCAACAAATTCAAAATATTGCAAAGGACAGTGACCCCTTGCAAGGGAGGCAGATGGGCATTTTCACCTGCCCAAAACGTGTATTAATGCACTAGATACCATGCTTTTCATCATGGTGTGGCACAGCGCGGTGATGGGGGACCCTCACTCTTCTTTCTTTTCTTTCTTTCTTTCTTTCTTTCTTTCTTTCTTTCTTTCTTTCTTTCTTTCTTTCTTTCTTTCTTTCTTTCTTTCTTTCTTTCTTTCTTTCTTTCTTTCTTTCTTTCTTTCTTTCTTTCTTTCTTTCTTTCTTTCTTTCTTTCTTTCTTTCTTTCTTTCTTTCTTTCTTTCTTTCTTTCTTTCTTTCACTTCCTTCCTTCCGCCGCTTCTTTCCTTCCGCCACTTTCTTCCTTCCCTCTTCTACTATTAAATGAAATATATCAATTTTTTGGCACCAACATCTAACCCTGTTTGGTTTTTATCACATTTTTTGGGTATATTTTGAACTTTCAAATTCTTTCAGTTTTATACACAGAGACTTCATTTTCTTTTCTCTTCTGGGTTTAAACCAGATCGTAACAAGACCCCAAAATAATGAGACATTGGGAAAGACCTGGGAGCTTAATCATTGTCACAGCAGGAAGGAAGAAGTTATAGTCTCCTGACAGAATCCAGTTCAAACTGAAAACCAGGGGAGCAATGGGAGAGGAGTGAGTGCAGCCATTGACCCAGTGGTTTACTGTCTCCACTGGTGGGTTGCACTGTCTTAGTGCAACAACCAGAGGATCCAGTCAGACAGAGGATACCAAAACCCACCAGCATGCAGGTGTTGAAGCTGCCAGTATTGAATTTGCACCACTGGGGATGGATGGATGGAACAATGAAGGAGACCACCAGGAAGGATACAATTCTGGGATGCTGGTCAAGAATCAAATTGCAAAAATTTGGTATACTTTTGGTTGGGAGTGGGCTGGAAGGTGAGGGGAGGATGAGGATGGGCAGTGTGAAGACAGCAGCAGTGGTAAAACTGAAGGAGAAAGGAGAAACCACAGGTGGAGAACTTCCAGCCCCATGTCAATAGGGCTGCAGAGGACAAAGTCCAGTGCTGGCAGTGGATGCCCAGCATGTGTTTCTCCTCTGAGGGGTCCTCACCAGAGCCCCCCAGCACAAGGAGAAGAAGAGGCTGTTACCCAATATTGAGTTCTTTCCCAGGGGCCCCCAATTCAACCAGCAGCCAGTGATGATAGAAGTCACCCCATGTTTCAGTCTGGGGGGACTCAGGGGTGAGGGAACCCTTAAATTTCAGCTGCATAAGCTGGCACTGAGCTCCCAACTCTGTGGTGAGCAATGATCCCCCCGCCAAGCATGGGAATCTTTGGCAATCCCTTAAAATCGTGATGGTAGAGCATCACTGCCCCAAACCCTCTTTAACTCACTTACTCCCCTGAATCCATCTTTTTTGGAGAGTGTTCAAAGATTTTGTGTATACTTTCAGGTAGGGGAGGTGTTTAATAGCTCCTTGCACTTGGCTTGGCTGAAATAAATGTTAATGCCCAAAAAAAGTAATGAGAATGTCTGTGCAGTCTGGGCATGGGGTTTGGGGAGCCAGAGGCAGGTTTTCTCGGGCTGGCAATAAGAGGAGGAGTTAGGCTGTGTTTTAGAGAAACAGAACTGGATTTCAAGGGGCTAGGGCTGGGTTTGGGGGACCTTCGGCGGGTTATCTTGGGCTGGAGATTTGGGGGTTGGGTATGTATCATGGGGTGCTCAGGTGGGTTTGGGAGACTAGGGGAGGTTTTGGGGGCCTTGGATGGATTTTGGGGAATTGAGGATATATCTTGGGGGGCTTGAATGGGTTTTGGGGAACAAGGGACTGTGTTTAGAGGACTAGAAATTGGTTTTGGGTGACTCTATATGGGTCAGGGAGGACTTGGATGGATTTTGGTGGACCAGGGAAAGGGGTTAGGGGGTTGAAAATGAGTTTTCAGGAGGCTGGGATCCATTCTGGGGGGACCAGGGATGTGTTGTTGGGGTTGTGGATGGATTTGAGGACAGCAGGGCTGGATTCGGGAGGGCCAGTGTTGTTTTCAGGGGGTTCCTCCACCCAGGTTGCTTCTGTTGTGACATCATGTGTTGTCATGGTGATGTTGGAACCTACAGGGTTGTGAGGCAGAGTTGGGACAGTTAGGTGTCTCCAGTCCCCTCTGGGTGCTGAGCTGGAGGATCCTGAGCTCCTGGTGAAGAGCCAACCCACCATGGTGACACTAGTGGTAGGTGCTGAGTGCTATGACATAATGGCCATGGTGGGGAAGGGGACTTTTGGACAGGTGATCCAGGGGCAGTGCAGGAGCACTGGGGAGATGGTGGCCATCAAGATCCTGAAGAACTGTGATCATGATGGCCAAATAGTGAAGAATGAACTGAGGCTGCTGCAGGCTTTGCAGGAGGGGAACACAAAGGACTCTCACATCATCCATTTCCTCGAGTCCTTCAGTGACACGGTCTGGACCTACCTGGTCTTTGAGCTGCTGCAACAAAACCTCTTTGACTTCCAAAAGCAGAACAACTTCTCACCTCTGCCAGTCCAACACATCCGTACCATCACAGCACAGGTGCTTGTGGCACTGGTCAAGCTGAAGGAGCTGTCCATCATCCATGCTGACCTTAAGCCAGAGAACATCATGCTGGTGGACCATGCACGCTATCCATTCCGCATCAAACTTGTTGACTTTGGCTCGGCTATCCTCCTCCCTGAAGTCTGCCATGTCCAGGAGCCCTACATCCAAACCCGCTTCTACCGGGCACCAGAGATATTGCTGGGGTTGCCCTTCTGCGAGAAGGTAGACATCTGGTCTTTGGGCTGCGTGATGGCCGAGCTTCACTTGGGTTGGCCACTCTACCCTGGCAATGACGAATATGACCAGGTATGCTACATCTGCTCTACCTTGGGGCTACCCCGGGGTGAGCTGCTCTGCGCTGCCCAGAAGACACAGTCCTTCTTCCAACGTGTGCCATGTTCCACTGGTACCTGGCAGCTCAAACCACCAGGGAAGGTGATAGCAAAGCCGATGGAGAGGAGGAAGCATATCTTTTCCTCACTGGATCAGTTGGCAGTGGTGAATGTCTGCCCGATGCCTGATCCTGATCAGGAGAAGCTAGCCAAGCATTGTGATCTGTACAGGATGGTGGAGCTGGTCAAGAGGATGCTCACTTGGGACTCACATGAGCGAATCACACCCAGTGCTGCCCTTCATCATCCCTTCATCTCCACGCAGGAGGTGAAGGCCAGCTTTGAGGCCACCCAGTACTACCAGCTCAGCCAGGAAGACCTGAGGGCATCCTGTAAGGATTCCAGCATAGCCGAGATCTTCCCAGGCACAGAGAAAGGTGCCTTCATCCCTGCCAGCCAGGGAGGCATCCAGAAGGCCACTGCCCAGATGGATGGGCTCAGCCTAGCTGAGCCAGCTGGGGACACCGGTGACAAGTGTCAGCAGGACATCTGTCAAGCCCCCAGTCTCGTCCACTGTGGAAGCCAGCACTGTCAGCATCACTGGTGTCCCCAGATGAAGCCCACAAAGGGTCATTTGGCTGTGCCGCAGGCTCCCAGCAAAATGAAACGGTACAGCCACTGGTATGGCAGTCCAGTCGGTGGCATCATGGAACAGAACCTGCCTGGAACATGCTACAGCTCATCCTGTGCCAAGGTACCGGGAGGGGGCTCCTGGGCATGGGCACTCTGGAATAAAGGGTGCTTGGGGTCCCTTACATACTTGGGTTTCCTGGTGCTACATGTCCCCGGGTGCCTGAGCTTCCCACAAAAAAGGAGGTAACATTCACCCTCTCCCCATGCTTTCCCCTCTGTTCCCCACCACAGAGAGCTCTGGTGATGTGGCGCAATCCCAAGCCTCCAGGGATTTGGAGAATAGGCTCCAGAGACTGGGCTGGGATGCCCCTGCAGTACTCAGCACGCTCCTCCTACCACAGAGCCAGTGGCACTCCCAGCATCACTGAGACCCCACAGCAACCCTTGCATACATTCCAGCAGTCCAGAGCTTGCAAGAGACCTTCTTCTTCCTCACCCTCAAGCACCCCAACCACCAAAACCCAGCGCCTTGCTGGAGGAGACCACAGTCAGTGCTGCCACAGAACATACTGTGCCAGATGCTACCGGCTATGTTTCTCACATTGATCCCCCAATAAATAATTTTGCCAAAAACTGAGCATTTCAATTGATTATTTGCCTGGGGAGTTTGGTACTGCCAAGACTTGGGGGGTGTCCTAGCTTCTCACCCAGGGCTGCCAGAGCACTTAGCAAAGGTCTGTCACTTTTCACAACCACAGCATGGGGGCCCCCATCCCCAGGCTCAACAACAACATGAACTCCAGAAAACTTGGGTTTTCTGTTTTTTCTCCTGTAGAGGGCATCTCACACCCGACAAAATTTATCTGTAGCTTGTTAACTGGTCAGATAGCTCAAACAGGGCAAGTTGTCTTGTATGAATTATTTTGGTGCCATGGGTTAACATAAGTCTGGCATCTCCCAACTGCCAATAAACACCTTACTGTTGAAGTGAAATTTGGCAAGATAAGCTGGATTTCTGACTGACGGACACCTCACTTCACAAACTATAAAAGCTACTTTCACAAAGCAAAAATCTGCACACTTTTCTGGAAATGTGTGTCATTTCTACCCATAACAGGGATGCCTGCTTTCCAGTTACTCCTCTGGAGGCTGAGTAAAAGAACTCTGTGTACATTATCATCATCTCAGTATTAAGTTACATTTGACTCCTAATCAGAACTATTTATTTTACTGGCTTTAATATAGGTACCTTGATATTGTGCACTGCTTTATATAATCTGCTAGTAGTTCCTTTAATTTTATACTGAGTAGTAAGTAATTCTGATTAACATCTTTCATGATCCCCTGTCTGTTTAATAATAACTCATAAATAGACCTAATGTGCTATCCTTAGAACTTGTGGGCCAGAGTAATTTCTTGAATTTAAACTGGCAAGACTTGTCTAAAGCTTCTACTCACCCTGTGACATTCCCCAAAATGGAGTGGGAAGCCAGATTCAGCACAGCCAGACCCAGTGGTTCCTCAGTGGTCTATTCCTTGGCCTTGAATGGAGCCGCAGAGGCTCTCCCAGCACTTGGCATTGCCTGCTTACAAACTGCCTGTGGCTGCTCTTGGGTGATGTTGGTGACATGGTGCGGCCAGCACCAGCTCCACTCATCCTGAGCTTCACGACCAGCACCGAGCTTGCTGGCTGCACAAAGTTCCAAGACCAGTCGGATATCCCTGCAAGGAGATTTTTGGGGAAGGACAAAACAACCCAAGAACTGCCCCAAAGCCACTGTCAGCAGCAGCTGGTGGTGACTCACCCAGAAGTGTTGACCCCAACCCAAATCCAGAGTGGAGGTGACACAGGCACTCAGGACACCCTCCACCAATATCCCCTCATAGCACCCTCAAATGCAGCAAGGGGCAAACCTCCCCTCACCACCCGTGCAACCCCTCCACAACACATGAGGCCAAGACCCCCAGAACCTCCCCAATAGGACAGAGACTCCCCCAGCACTCCTGGGATCCCCAAATGGGGTCTGGAACCCTCCGAAGCTGGGTTCTGAGTCCCTGTCCACACTTTTATTCCAGCTTCTCAGCTCCCAATCATGCCGTTGTACTTGTGCTGGTGGGAGTCAATTTTGGGAGTTCATCTCCCCGCAAACTCCCCTACCCTGTCACACATGTAGGGGTTGTCCTGCTCCTCCAGAATGGTATTCATCATCATCTTCATCCCCATCCTATGCCTGGGGGAAGTGGGGATTCCCATCTGTGCCTCTCTGTTCCCCTGCAAGGTGTCACTTTGTCCTTGTTCTTGCAGCAGGGATAGTCATCGTCCAGCTCATCCGCTTCAGGATCATGGAGAAAATTGGGTGGCTTCTTGAGGGGGTGGGGACCAGGGATAGGTGGATGGACAAACACCTCCCTCTCTCCATTGGGGGGATGGATGGATGGATGGATGGATGGATGGATGGATGGATGGATGGATGGATGGATGGATGGATGGATGGATGGATGGACAGGTAGGTAGATGAACAGCAGGATTGGCCAGCCATAGGCCATATGGACAGACAGACAGCAGAGATGGCCAGGCCAGGGGGAGAGATGGGAGGGATTATCTGGACAGATGGATAGATGAATGGCCAGATGAAATAATGTTTGGGCTGGATGGCTGGAGAGATGGACAGCAGGGATAGCCAGGATGAGGCATGGATGCACAGCTGGATGATTGGCTGAGGTGGTGTCATGCCCCAGTCTGCTTGGAGGGTTTAGGGGAAGGTTCTTTGATTTACTTTGGGCAGTGTGTGGGAGAAACAACAAAATACTCCGAAGTTCAAGGACAAACTTTTTTTTTTTTGCAAACTTTAGAACATTAAGGTACAATAAGGTTTTTAGCAAGTTTTAAAATGTATCTGTTTGGGTTATTATCTATAGTAATGGGCAGAAAATCACACAATGGAAAGCCAGTGTCCATAAAGAAGACAGAGGAGTCCTGCAACTTTATTTGAATAAAGGGAGAGAGTCCACTGGGGCACACACGCACTGGGTTTTCTCTCTTGACGTTTTGGAGGGTGCAGCCTCCTTTTATTCTAAATTCCCGGCCGCATGTTGCCCTCTTCCCTTCCCCATTGGCTGAGGTACTGGGAATGTACAGCCTTCCCAAATCACCTACCACATATTCCCCCCTTAAACATAAAATTTTGGCCCAAGTTCCGAAACTCAGACTTTTGCAGAACCATTTGCCATTTCAGCAGTCAAACAGTCTGGGTTCTTAAACAAACCTGTGGCTCAAAGTTAGTAGAGACATTAAGACTCATTTCAAAGACATTAATACCCATACCCCACACCCATGGAATTGTTTGTGAAGACATTAGCATTCACCTTTCCTATCAGCAATATAAAAGCATAAAAATTACATGAAAGAAAGTTTATAAGGAAAAAGAAAGAGAAAGAAAGGATAAGAACAGAATGCTTATATACTTATCACCCACAAGCAGGTCCAGAAACAAAACCTGGTTGTTGCAATTTAAATCAAAATTGGTCAAAGTGATGTTCACGGTCTTTATCTGTCGGGGTGGAGGAAGCCTACAAAATGCAAAGATCAATAGGTTAATATATTCCCAGGCTTGGTGGGAACACCCAGGTACCTCCCTTGGAGCAGGAGTTCTACACTGTATGATGTAACACTTCAGATGGGGCACAATTGTTTTGAGTTTTTAACCATAAACATTCCAGTCTCTCACAGGCGGATGGCTGGACAGATGGAGAGAGCAGGGATGGCCAGGCCAAAGGGAAGGACAGCGAGATGGATGAGAATAGGATAGATGGCAGAGTGGACAGATGGTTGCCTGAATGGATGGACAGACAGAAGGACAAAAGGACAGATTAATGGATGGACAGATGGCTGAGTACTGATGGACATCTGTGACAATGGATGTCCCTCAGGGGTCTGTACTGGCAGCAGTGCTATTCAATATCCTCATCAATGAAACAGACAGTGGGATCAAGTGCACCCTCAGCCCACTGGCAGATGACATCAAGCTGAGCAGGGCAGGTGACACGCCTAGAGAGCAGGGCCATCCAGAGGGACTTGGACAGGCTCAGTCAGTGGGCCAACAGGAACTTTATGAGGTTCAACAAGACCAAGTGCAGGTGCTGCACATGGGTCAGGGTAACACCCAGTATCAATACAGACTGTGGAATAAAGAGAGTGAGAGCAACCCTGCCAAAAAGGATGTACGATGCTGGTGAGAGGCTGGACATGAGCTGGTCATGTGCACTGACAGCCCAGAAACTAACTGTGTCCTGGGCTGATCCCCACAGCATGGGTAGCAGGTGAGAGGGGGTTCTGCCCCTCTTCTTCACTCAGACAGGACCTCACCTGCAGTGCTGCCTCCAGCTCTGGGTTCTCCAGCACAGGAAGGATGTGGACCTGCTGTCCAGAGGCCATGGAACTGCTCTGAGGACAGACTAAGAGCCAGGGATGTTCAGCCCAGAAAAGAGAAGGCTCTAGGGAGACCTTAGAGCCCCTTCCAGTGCCTAAATGGGCTCCAGAAGAGCTGGAGAGGGACTTGGGGCAAGCTGGTGTGACAGGAAAAGGAAGAGTGGCATCACACTGTTATCTGGCAGGGTTAGATGGGACACTGGGAAGGAATTCTTCCCTGTGAGGGTGGTGAAACACTGACATGGCTTGCCCATAGAAGCTGTGGAGCTGAGAATATACTCAAAAGCATCTCTGAACCAGCCTTGGGACTTGATGCCAATTTGCCTCACTGGCAGCCTGGAGAGCTGCCTTTCAATGAGCTCTACCAGCTGGAGATTGCCAAGGCATTACTGTGAGTTTCCCTCTTCTCCTTCAGAAACCATGTTCCACACCCAGAGACAAGCCTGTACTGGGAGGCGCTGTGTCCAGGTCAGAGAGACGCAGGTAAGACCGTGGAGGAGATATTAACTGTCACTTCTCTTGCAGGAACTGGGTTTAACAGCAGGAGGGAGCCAGGGCAAAAGGGTTCATAAGATAAAAAAAATGCATCAAACAGCAGCAAGAGAAGACGAAAATGTACAGATCACCAAACTGGGATAGTGCTTTTAGGTAACATCTGCCTGCACAATTACAGTGAAAAGCATTGGGAGGTCAGGGAGTGACTGAGAAGAGTGTCCAACAGAGAGGAGAGCCCAGGGAGACATGAGAAGACAGAGGACTTGAAAAAGATGAAAAGTGGAAACTGAGGCCACTCATAGTCTGCAGGCCCTGGAGAGACACGCTGTTGGTTGAGCAGATGATGGGGAAGAGTAACCTGGCTTGTATTGCAATTTTTACATGATTTGCAAGGGTGTTTTTTGATGTCATGTGTGCCTGAGAAGGTAAGAGGACAAGGCACAAAGAACTGGTTTATGCAGATGCAATACATGTAGCTAAATAATAAAATAATTTATCTTGGTAATTGTATAGTAAAGTATCTTTCCCTTTCTCCGAGGTTGCTGAAGAAGACTTCTACATAGGTCACCAGAACATGACTGGTGCCAAGAAAGATCCCTGCACTTGGATGTCCATCTGGACTCTGCTCCTGCTCACATCCCCTACTCCCAACACCTTTCTCATTGGACTTGGCTGCTAGAGGGCACAGCAGTTACGAGCACTGGCAATGGAGATCAGAGAGGATGCTTTCCTCATTTTGGAGTGAGCTTCACAACAGGCTTGGGAGCTGGTGCTTTATACTTTCTGTGATAAGAAATGCCTAAATGTTTGTCTTGGTTTTGCCTCAGAAAGTGATTTCTGGGACAGCTGAGAAATAGGACAGAAGGTATATGAACTGCAGCTTGTGTGAGACACTGCAGAATCATCTTCAAGGTGTTGTGGTTTTTAATCAAACTCCACTGCCCAAGTCTGCAAGGAAACCTATTTCTTCATCAAAAGAAGCAGTAAAGAGTGGAAATCCACCTGCTTAACCAAACAGCCCTGTTGACGGGGACTGTCAGTGTCCACGCTTGTAGTCACTTGGTTTCCCCATCTCTCTAGCAGAGACATCTCTCCTTGAATGTTGCATTTGGGAGAACATGAGCCACACACAGGGGAGCTGAGCCTCTGATCCAGCAGCCCTGGAGACACTGCTCCTGAGAATTCTTTTTCCCTGAGATCTCTGCATGCTCTTTCAATACAGGTGTACAAAGCATCCACCTTTCTGCATCACAGGGGAGTGTACATAAAGGAAGTCTTGAGTTAAACAAATTTTAAAAAAACCCTGTCTGTTGTTTCTTGCATGGTCAAACTCTCTATAGAACAATCAGAAGCACCACTTGGGACTGGGTTTGGTTTGATGGCTTTATTGTTTCAATCACAAATGTCAGGTAAAATGGTCAACATTCTTCTGAGATATCTGCAGCCTTTGATGGTCACTGGCAGGTTATCCTGGGAAGCTTGGTGGCCAGTACTGAACAGGTCTGTACAGAACCCATATGCACTTGAAATCATTGGCAAAGAGTGAGGCAACTGTTGCAATGTTGCAAATGTTGCTACTTTTTAGTCCTCCTCTCTTGAGGATGAATGAAGATAGTTCCCTTTCTTCATTCTTGCACCATCCTACCCTGAGCTTCTGCCATCAAGAGGCTCTTTCTCTCCCTGATGGAACAGCTGAGCAGGCTCCCATGGCCACATCCCAGCTGGTGGTGAGACTGCCCTGTTTCTCCTGGGAGATGGAATGTCTGGCTGGCTTCTATTCAAGTTCTCCCCCTCCTCAGTTTGTGTGGGCTTTCTCCACCTCCTTGAGTTCTTGAAATCTCCTTGCAGCTTCAGACCTGTCATTTTCTGGCACACTTGACATGACATGCAGAAGACTGAAGCAGCAGAAGGCTTTGGAAAATAAATCTGTTTTCCAGCCATGTCTGTCCCTTTCAGTCAGTGACTCATCTTTATACTCTCAGATGTCCATTTTGCCCCCTTTCACAAGTGGCCCTTCTCAGAAAGCAAGCATCTGGCAATTTACACAAGCCCAGTTTAGTGCCTAACAGTGAGGGAGAAGAAATGGCCTGTCAAACTGCAGGACAGACAGAACTCACCTGGACAAGCAGACATTCTCTCCTATGACAAAAAGCAAAACCCATCAGAGAAGAACAGCAAAAGGTTCAGTAACACCAGCAAGAGTAGATTCTGAACATCCTTTCACACTTGTTCCTACCTGGCACAGAGGACTAAATATGTATTTTGGCAGAGAGATGTCTTGAGCCATCATTCATCTTGTACTACTGCCCATCCCTGGCCTGCAAAAACAAGGTATCTTCAGATGAACTGCAGGGGTTTTTAAAGCAAAACCGCAGCTGGGACACACTGAAGGACACAATTCACCAATGCAAATCACTGAGTAGATTTTCACCCTCAGGAAACAGTAACACTCAAAAATTATCTTTAGAGTCATTAAGAAATGTCCTGAGAAAACCATGTCACCAATCACAGGATGAAGGTGTAAAAATAGATCACCTTTGTTCACCAAAAGCAGGCATTGCCATTTCAGCATTTCAGTGGCAAAAAAGTGCTCTGCACCAGCCCAGCTCTGTACAAGCCGAGTCAGGGCTGATCTTCACACTGGAGTCTTCTCTTGCCACAAGGGCAAGGTCCAGCTGCAGCATTGATTGTACACAGACAGCTGCACTCAGCCATTGAGTGCACACATAACAATTTCCAAATCAGGATTCTCGTCCAGGAAAGGTCTCTTTCCAAGCAGAAAAGTTGCAGTGCACTTGTTTACATACCTTGCTCATCTTTCTGCCACATAAAGCATGACTTCTGCTCAAGCACAGTCAGGACATTGAAGGATGTCCTGTAAACCTCTCAAAGGCAGTGTTCAGTTGATCAAACCTTGAAAGCAAGCACAGACCTAACTGTTGCAATCATGAAATTAGTGGAAAAGACCCAGAAGATTGAGACCAATTGCTCATCCACCACTGCCAAGGCCACCACTAAACTATGGCCCCAGGTGCCACATCTACATGGCTTTTAAACTCTTCGAGGGATGGGGACTCTACCACTATTCTGGACAGTCTGTGCCAGGGCTGGACGAGCCTTTCCACAGAGATTCTTACTGATGTCCAACCTGAACCTCCCCTGCAACAACTTGAGGCCAGTCCCTCTTGTCCTGTCCTTTGTTCCCTGAGAGCAGAGCCTGACCCTCACATGGCTGCATCTGCCTGCCCAGAGGGTTGTGGAAAGCAAGTCCTCTCAAGCCTCCTTTTCTCCAGGCTGAATCCTCCCAGCTCCCTCAGCTGCTCCGTGTGCTCCAGACCCTTCCGCAGTTCTATTCTCTTTCCTGGACATACTCCTGCCCCACAATATCTTTTTTGTAGAGAAGCACCAAGAACTGACCCCAGGACGAGAGGTGCCCTCACCACAGGTGGGTGGTCACTGCCCTGGTTCCACTGGCCACACTGTGGCTGGTACAGTGGCTGTGCCATTGGCCTCCTTGCCTGTCTGGGCACAACTGGGCTCCTGTTCAGCCGACGTGTGCCCAGGGGGGCAGGGAGATGAACGGGCAGACCTTCCCAGCCGAGCAGCGCTCTACTCTGGGGAGTCCGAGCTGCCCCTGCAGGATGGAGCCCCGGACGCCACCCGGACACCACGGTCTGGACACACCACACGCATCCCGGACAACCTTACCCCCACCTCCCGCCCGGCCCTGTCTCGCCTTTCGTCGCCGTTTCCACTTCCGCCGCCATTTCCGCTTCCGGCAGTGGTAACCGCGATGTCGGCGCTGGCAGCGAATCCCAACAACCCCGTGGTTTTCTTCGATGTAACCATCGGCGGGCAGGTAGGGGTGCTCCAGGACGGGGAGCGGCGGCGCCCGGGGAGGGACTGCGGGGATAACTGGAGATGTCGGAGTGTTGTGGGGATGAGAGAGCACGGGCGGTGCCGGGGGTTCAGCGTGGGGCTTGCGGGGCCGCACTGGAAGCGCTGGGAGGGGCGGTGCCAGGAGACGGATGGCGCGTCTGTCGAGTCACTGGGCCCGACGGGAAGGGCTCGCAGGGCAAAGGAGGAGGACTACGTCAGGAGGGGCCTGGAGGGATGGGGGCGAATGAGGTGGCCGGATTTGTGGGAGTGCCCGGGGTCGGGCGGTAGGCGTCTGTGTGTGAGGGTCCTGGAAAACTCACCTGGCCCCCCTCTCCTCAGGAGGTCGGCCGCATGAAGATCGAGCTGTTTGCAGATGTTGTACCCAAAACAGCAGAGAACTTCAGGTAACGAGCAGCTACCGATCCTGCAGCTCAGCCTGGACTGGATCTGCAAAGGCTTCCTGGTGCAAGAATGGCAAACTGATTTGCTGACACCCACCCCGAACTGCTTCACCTGCTTTCTTTTTCTGTTCTCAGAGATGCTGTGTGGCGTCCTGATCTCTCAGGGGACCCTGTGGGGCTGGAAGGGCTCCTCCTCTGCTTCCTCTGTGAAGCCTCCTGATTTGCTCCATGCATTTAGAGCAGGCAGTGCCTTGTGCCATGGTGGAGGTCTCCTGGCCACCCACCTCTCCTGCCATCAACTGAGGGATTCACCATGTGAAATCCCACTTCCATTGGAGGGATGGACATACCCTGGTCTCTGTCAAACACAGTGCCTGCCCTACATTCATGGTCTCTTACAACCTTGGTGTTAACTCTGACCTCCTCACTACAAAAAGCATAGAGTATGTTTTGAAATGGCAGGGGGAAGGAGTTACCATTTCCTGTTCCTGTTTCTCTGGGAACATCTCTGACACAATAAGGAAAATCCTGTGCACCAGTTGGTGCAGCCCTCAGAGTTCACATGCACCTAATACTCCGCTCTCTTTTTGTTTGCCAGGCAGTTTTGTACAGGTGAATTCAGGTAAGTGGATTATAATGTCCTTTAAGTGTCCCACTGGAGAAACAGGGCTGGCTGAGGTAGAAAGGGTTTGTCTTGAACTTTTTCATGTTGTACTAGTACAAAATGGAAGAGAAATCTGCTCTGAGGAAATTGTGGGGGGCTTGGAAACTCACAGAGATGGCAGATGGCAGATTTCTCTTTCTGATACGACATTTTTTGTGCCCAGGTGGCTCTAAAAAACCCCATCTGCAAAGCCCACCTGCTCATGCTGCACATTGCAGTGGGATCCTGTGTAGGTGATGGTGGGGGTGTTGCAGAGAACAGTCATTTCATGTGCAGAGCCCACTTGAGGCTTTTTTTTGCCTCCAACAGCAGCAGCTGAGAGGCTGTGGCATTTGGTTGTATTTCAAGGCAGCTGCTAATGTATACGGCAACCCTTTGGGACTCTGAATTGCTGGGACGATTTTGTGTTGGGATATCCAGTAGGTTGCAATAATTCTCCTTTTCACTTCCCTACAGGAAAGATGGTGTCCCTATAGGTTATAAAGGAAGCACTTTCCACAGGTAAATCATCTACTGTTGTTTTGACACTAAATAGCAGCCTGAGCCATGTGGGGTTTTGTGACCTGTGACCTTGAGCTGTTAGTGGTGTTGGAGACATTTGCAGATCATAGTAAAGAAGTTCTGTGGCTTTGGGGGACCTGGGGATGCTGTCCTCCCCACTGGGAGGAATCCCCTGTTTCTGGTGTGCCACGTCAGATACTGCATCTATGACGTAATCAGTATCCCTGTTCAAAAGCAATGAGTCCTAAATGACTTCATATCAACCATTAATTAATATTTGTTGTCGATTTTAGGCTGCAGCATTCACAGACTATTAGCTTCTGTTGCACAGCAAGGCAGAACCCCTTTTCATCTTACACTGAGCTTTTTGAGGCTTTTGGCCACTGAGAATTAAGTGTTGTTTTACTTCTTTAGGGTAATAAAGGATTTCATGATCCAAGGAGGTGACTTCGTAAATGTATGTACTCCTGTACTCTTTTTGTCCTTTTCCTGTGTGGTATAACATGCTACTGGGCTCTCTTTCTTTTTTGAGGTATCCAGTAGTAACTGGAGGTACCCTCATAGCATTGCTGCCATCCTACTGCAACGGACATTAAACCGCCTGAAAACAAATCTGGAGCCTTGGGTGAACACGCACTTTTCCCAAAATATTTTCTCTCTGCAATAGCCTGCCAAAACCCTGGAAGCTTTCAAAACTTGAAAAATTTTGTTTGCCCTGTTTTCCTTCCCCCTTCTGTTGTCCTTCTCCAGGCAAAAACCTCTGTGAATTTCAATTCACATTGTAGATAGACCCTAAGTACAGAACCTAGTGCATAATGTAAGACCTCATTTAAATCAAAACTAGCCTTTTGTTACTAAATTTTCTCAAAGTAGAAAAGTCTTTGCACCCACAATGGTGGTCGTGCTCTGACATGGGGATAAGCAGAATGTATGAGTAAGGCTGAAGGGCCACAGGATCTCTTCGCTGTTCTAGGATTCAGTAAAATTATTTTATTTTTGGAAGTGTTTCAAAATATGAGGGAAGCAATAAAGATTTTTTAAATATAAAACTTGGTTGTATGAAAGTCTCTGAGAGAAATGACCACACAGCAAGCAGTCCAGCAACACCAGATTCTGTGGTAGTTGCTAATTGTGACACTGCTCAGATGTCCCAGTGCATGTATTACTTCGACTGCATCTCAACAAGCTTTACACATTGCTCCAGTATTTGAAATTTATTTGTTATATTTATTACAGAGCCACCTGGAGAGCAAGCACAGTCACACTGACCCCTGAGACAGGGTTGCAAGTTTCTTTCTCAGAGCCAAAAGTTTAAGTAAATTACAGAGAGAAGGAGGGAAACAAATAAGGGCTGGGCAAGTAGAGCAAAATGGCTTAGTAGAAAGTACAACATAAACAGAAAATCTTTATTTTAGAATCTGTCCTTGTAGAACAGAGAGATTGCTTTCCTATTTCCGATAAAGTCACAGAAAATAAGGTGAAATACATAAAACCACTGTAAGCCAACTTTTTCCATGCAACCACTTCTGCTTTCTTTGTCACACTATCCCATACTTCTGTGTCTCTTCCCTTTTCCCTTCCAAGTCCTGATGGGTCTGTACCAAGCAATCAGTTGCCTCCACTTCACTCTGGGAGGCTTGGACTTAAACTTACCATCTGCATGGGCTTCTGCCAACATATGAATGGTGAGCAGTGAACTGTGTGGTTAGAAACTGGTTGCTGTTCGTGTTCGGAAATTAAACACTGAATGTGTTCCCTGCTGGTGTATGTAAATGGCAATACATAATCCATTTTGCCCTTTCCTCTTGTTTGGAGATTTTAAATTAATTTTTAAATTGAATTGTTCTGTAGCAGTTGGTACAGAACAAATGCTGTCACTGACTGGGTATTTCTGTCATGCAGGGAGATGGCACTGGAGTAGCCAGTATATATAGAGGTCCTTTTGCAGATGAAAACTTCAAGCTGAAACACTCTGCTCCTGGGCTGCTTTCTATGGTGAGTATAAAATAATGAAATTACAGACTAAAAAGCTTCTAGAACTTTCTCTGTGCCCTTTTCCTAAGTGTATATAATTTTTGCTTGGCAACAGAATCTCTGCCATTGGGTACAAGGTCTGCTTTGCAGCTACTAGTCAAGCAGCTACTTTTGGGTTAATATGTTGAGTAAAACAATAGTCCTGATTCTGCAGCATCCTTTCTTTGCTGCCTGTTGGAGTGCTGGGGCAGCCTTAGCTTCCTTGCTTTCAGAAGAGCTTAATTCTTAAGAGTTTTCATACAGTGGTGAGTTGGTGGTGTTTTCTTCTTTCCTGATACTGTTGTCAAACACTGACCTTGGCAAGGATGAAACTGAGAGATTTGGGAGTTCCAAAGCCACAGCAATGTTACCATGGTATCTTTTAAAACAGACCTTCCTATTCAACATAGTAGGAGAAACTGCAACCATTGCACATTGTCTGGTAGGAACAATACTCTGACTTTTGGAATAGAAAGCAAATGGAGCCAGTGTTCCTATCCACAACTACTTCTTCCCCAGCTCTTTCAGCTGCTCTGCCCTTAAAACCACTTGTTTAGGACATTTAATAATTTGGGTTAGTTATTCGTCCATGTTGAAAACATGGCCCAAAAAGAGGTGTCATGGCACAGCTAAGCAGCTAGTGTACTGTGGTGTGAGAGAAGAGATTCACTCCAGTACTGCCAGCTTTGTGTTCAAGTGACATGGCTCTGAAGTCGTTATACTGGGTCAAACCTTGGATCCCAGGAACCATGGATCCCAGCTGGATCCTTTTGAAGCTGGCTGGCATTAACTAGAAAGCCAAAATGACCCTGTCCTTTGCAGTCCTGCAGCTGCAAAACTTGACCAGTTCACTCATCAGGACAGAAACTTGCTTTAGTAGCTCCTGGTTATCCATATCACAAGTGGCATTCAGTGTTGCAGAGATGTTTTCTTAACACAGTGCAAATGCTCTGGGTTTTGTACTTGGGTGTGAATAAAATTTCCCATCTGCATCCCATTGTTCCTGTGAGTCCTGTGCCAGTACAGTTGTTACTTTTCTTATCATGATAATTAATTTTTTTTTTAATTTTTATTCTGAGGAAACCTCCCAAAAACCAGAAATCAGCTGGATTTTTTTCTTGCCCTGGTTTCTGGTGTTCAGTTTTCCTTGGGGTAATGCTGCAGCCAATAAATACTTCTCACCAAAACATTCAGCCTTTTTCCAGGAGTGTGCTCTAAAGTCTGGACTTCGGCGCAGTCTTGTATTGAACACGCCTTTGTAGAAGTGTAATAAATATTTGGTGACATGGCTCTTGCACATTCTAGTGTGACCAGAGGTGGTGACATACTACATCCCAGCACAGTGTGCTCTCCTGCAGATATGTATTTTCTTTCCTTTGGTTTGTCTAGCAATAAGCTAAAAATAATAGATACTTGAACAACACCTCTTCTTTATGTGTCTGCCTTCAGTTTTGGTCAGTCTGAAATAGTATACTTGTTGTATTTTGCTATTCTCAAACCCTAGGCAAACAGTGGTCCGAGTACCAACGGCTGCCAGTTCTTCATTACGTGCTCCAAGTGTGACTGGTTGGATGGGAAACATGTTGTGTTCGGTGAGTACCTACAGTAAAAGTCCTGGAGTGGCAGCTCACAGACATCCCTGCAGGGAAGCTGTTAAAATAAATAGTGAGAATCAGAATCTTCTGAACTGGGAGGAACCCAGAGGGATCATCAAAACCAACTCCTGACCCTGCACAGGTCACCCCAAAAATCCCACTCTGTGCCTGAGAACACTGTCAAAATTCTCCTGGAGCTCTGGCAGCCTTGGGGCTGTGATCATTCCCTGGGGTGCCTGTTCAGTGCCCAACCACCTCTGGGAATGGACTGCTCATTTTTCCCTCCTTGCTTGTGCTATCTGAGGGATCTATACAACCTAATACTGTGATGGATCACTGTTGGAATGAATAACTTTTTCACAGGTTAGCTTTAATCCAGATCAGTGTTCAGTGTACTGTATTTGTACACAAATCCTTGTGCCAGTGCAGAGGGCACAGATGAGTGGAAGAGTTCCTTTCTTCTCCACTATCAGAGAGGGCTGAGCTTTCACCACAGTTTTGGACAGTAATTCTGTGAAACCATATCTGCTAACTTGTATTTACTGCTGGTTGAACTGTAGGAGTTCCAGGCCAATTTTAAGCTGGTGGTCTCAACCCCCAAATATCTACACACACTACCCCTGTGATGGGAAGAGGCACTTAATCTGTGCTGAATGTGGCAAATGTTTGAAGAGGGATTGTTTCCTTTATGAGTTCAGAGATCAATAACAAACCCTGAAGTGCCCAATAGCTACACACTGCTCAGGGCTTTTCAGGAAGGACAGAAATGCATGTACCTGTGATGAGTGGAGGGGAACAAAGGTAAAAACCAGGCATATTGAAGTAGATACATTTTCTCATTCTAGGTAAAATTGTCGATGGGCTGTTGGTCATGAGAAAAATTGAAGTAAGTCTGAATATTGCTACTTCCTTGTGAATGTCTACATTGGAAAGTTACATACATGATTAAGTAGAGTTGTCCTGCTGTCTGTTTACAGGATACCAGTGAATACCAGTGTTGATAACTGGCATTATTGGTTGCCATCATTATAATGTAGCAGGAAATCTGTTGAAGCATAGGCTGTCATATGAGTTGGCTTTGGAAATGCTAGGATCTTGTGACTGTGATAGTCTTTGAGTGGGGATTGCGCTCTTAGCTTTATTTGCTTTGCATTTGTTCAGAAGCTGAATTAAAAAGTTGCTCCATCAGCAGCTCAGACAAGAGCGTAAAGCATCTCACTTCTTTGGATTATTCAGTGGATGCAAAATCATCAGTTCTGCTGAACTATGATCAGCATGTTTAATAAGGAAAAATTAAGCTAATCTCTTGATGGGCTTCCAGGAGCTGAAGATAAATACAGTCCAGGTGATGATTGCTGCCAACATCAGACCTGGGTGTCATGGAAGGGTAATGAGTAGATTTAACAAATAGCAGCAAGTTCTCTGAGACAGCCAGCATTGACTCCATGACACATGTGGGATAATGTGGATAAGGGTCTCTAATCTAGAAAGCAGGGCAAAACACAGAGCTGTTGGGCTTTGAGAAAAGGTCACATGGAAGGAGTAGTACCGCATGGTATAATCTGCTAGAGCATTATGGTGAGCCTGCTTTGGGTATCAGTACAGTGAGACCAAAGTAAAGAAACAGAGATTCAGAGAACAGCTGAGTCCAGCACATCAGGAGGTTCAGAATGAGGGTTTCTTTGCCACTGTTTCATTCCTTTCTGTGTGAGCACAGGTTTGTTTTGCTTGTGGCAGCTGCTTTTAGTATCAAAGCCAGAGCAGCCTCAAGTATCTCCATGAGGAGCTCTCCAGTTTTTACTCTATTCCTTCCCTCCAATTCAAAGGACCAGCCTCCTGTCTCTGTCCCAAACCTCTGCTTACAAAGGGAATATTCACCAGCTTATGGTCGGGCCTGTTGCCAAATATGTAATGGTGCTTTTCTGCTCCTCAGAGCTGTGTCTGGAATTCCCTGTTCCTCATGTTACAGAGATCTCTTAGCCAATCTTCCGGTATCTGTCACTGCCTGGGTTTGCTGTGCTTTTGTAAGTTTTAGTGTTCTGTATTTGTTTGTCCCCAGAACGTGCCAACAGGTCCCAATAACAAACCCAAGTTGCCAGTTGTGATCTCTCAGTGTGGGGAAATGTGAAGCAATGAAAAAGCAATGTGGTAAGTCTCAGTCTTCACAGGCACAGTGCCATGAACTCTGGGTTGCTCTGCTTCTTATTTTTCTTTTGATTTATTTTCACGTTTCTTTGAACCTGCTGAGAGCTGTGTCAGCTTGTTGAAACACCAGAAAGTGCTTCTCTAACAGCATTTGTTTTTTGTCAGCTGAAGTCCCAGAACTGGCTTCCCTCCAAGCTGCACAAACACCAGAGGCAGCACAGCAAGGATAAGATTTTGCAGCTGTAGTCGAGGAGAAGATGGGTTTATGGGAGCTTTTTCTTGGATTGGTTTAGGCTGCCTTGAAGCCTTGATTGTAGAAAGTGGATGAAAGGGAATTACAGCAGTAATCCCTCTGGCAATACCCAGGCAGTCTAGCTGGTGCAAAGCCTCCCTTTGACCTGCAGATTGGAGGACTTTCCAACAGCTACAAAAAGCAGACTATCCATGGGTGGGACAGGCAGGGATCAAGAAAAGGAGAACAGAAAGGGAGGACTTGAGCCTCCTTCCTTAGTATAGCTGTAGGACCAACATACTGAAGGACCAAGGAATTACCATTTTGCATAGTCTTACTTTGACTTGAAAAAAGTACCACTGTCTTTATCTGAAAAGAGATGTTTCCACTATTTACTGTTACTCAGGCTTCATTTTGTTTAAACCAATAGTCTCAGGCTAACATACAGTATATATTCTGTTTCCATTTGTCTGCTCAATTTACTGAAAACTACAGGTATTTAAACAAATCTGTCTAGATTTCAGTGTGTTGGGTTGCAGCTTGTCAAAATCTGCCTTTTGGTTGCTGATTTTTTACAAATTTCAGGAGGCAGATTGGACAAAAGCACATACAATTTTTGACCTTCCATTAAATGATATCCAGAGGAAACTGGAATTGCCCACTATGTTCCTTCTTCTGTAATAAAGTTTTAGAGACCTGCAGCACTTTAGACTCTTGGGAGCTCTTGCTGTTTGATGAAGTGACAACAGGGAATGTAATCATTCTTCCATTCCCCTGGTACTTCTGGTGGCATTTAGTCTTTTGAAAAAAAGCCTGCTAGCAAGGCTGTCCATTTTCTTGCAGAGCTGTGCTGATGGGTTGGGTCCCCTTTAGGGTTGAACTCAGGCCCAGACTTTATTATCATTTTAGTTTGGAGTACTGGATCTCTGGCCAATGCCCAGCTTGAGCCTGGAAGCTTTTCATTCTAAGCGCAAGGCTTACTTATTTCCCAGACAGGTCTTAGGAACAGCCTTGCTGCACTCTCATGTCTCTCATCTGACTGGGTACAAGAACAGCTTTTGCTGTGCCTGATGTCAGACAGCCACATCAGCTACTTGTCAAGATCCTTGAAAATCAGCTGGGAGAAACAGACACTGTTGCTTTTAACTTCAGAAGTAGATGCAGTTGCCTGGCAGGCAGACTCGGGAGGACTCCTGAGTTCTCTGGGTGATGAAAGCTGGTGTGTGTAGCAACAGGCATGCACTTAAAATCGCTGTGTGGCCAACAATGTCACTGCACAGCCTGGCTGTTGTAGGATCTGTTGGGAATGGCTGTCCAGCATTTAGACTTACCTGTTTCTTCTTCCTTTCAGTGTTCCTTTACTGGTGATTAGACCTGTGCTGGCTCTATGCAATTCGAATTCCAGCCAGCTTATCTACTGCCCCAGACTTCTCCACAGGCCAGATCCATCCTCTTGAGGTTCTCCTGAAATTATTTAATAATGGGCATCTTTTTTTTTTCTTTTCTTTTTTTTTCATTTTGAAATGTAAATAAAGAATTTTGTAAACATGTGCAGTGCACATCAATTAACATTAGTGGGAATGGAGTCTTCTCCAGGTGAGAAGGGCTGTAACATCTTCAGCAGCATGCATTATCCCTCACTGGTTCAGTCAGGAACATTTACTGCATTGTATTGAGAGAAAGAAGGGGTGAAAGGAGCTTGGCAGAGCTGTGCTGCACCATCTCTTTCACTCAGGAGGTAACTACAGCTGCCTGGCTGGCAGAAAGGTTCTTGGCGTCTTGGGAATCTCCAGAACCTTTGTGTGTACAGCCTTTCTGAGGCATGAAGAATTGGTATAGCACAGATTCAATCACCATGAGTGCTGCACTCTGAGGAGAGTTCTGATGTAAACAGGTGTCTTTCAGCCTTCTCCTAGCACATGGTAGCACCAGACCATTGAGCTGTTATGTGCCACCTGTGTTGGAGGAGGGATTCACCTGGGTACTCACAAGGGTGTTGGAGCAGGCTTGTCATATGGGAAAAACAGAATAGTGATGCTATAGGAATGAAATTGGGGCTGCTTCTCCTGTGTAGCGAGGAGAGTGCAGCTGAGGCTGCCTTCTCCCAGAACAGGGCTGAGAGCTCACCCTCTCCTGGCAGGGGACAAGCCAGAACCCTGCACAGGCCTGGGTTCCAGCAGGAGCTTCTCATCCAGCTGTTTAAAGGTAAAGCACTTGATGAAAGTTAGGACAGAGTCTGTTCTGTCATATGCAGGTGCTTCATCCCATGCAGAGAGATCTCATCCATGCCTGGGTAGTGGGTGTAGGGTGCACTCTGGGCCTGAGCTTGGCCTTGCCCAGCACTGACATGCTGGAGAAAGCTCCCACAGGCTTGGCTGTGCTCTTTTCTCTCATGGCTCTTTGAAATCCTGGCAGCAGGCTCTGGCTGTCAGGATTCCTGTGTCCTCATTCGTAGCATTGCGCAGCAGCTGAGAACACTCACTTCTCTCCAGCCTGAGGCATGTCACTTTGTACCTGCAGTACATCAGGTGATAAAAGAAGCACAGACACCCCAGTCTTTTCTTCCCCAGCCCCACACATGCTTTGCAGAGGGCTCTCCTGTGAGAGGAGGGTTGAAGATAACAGGCTTGCTCAGGTGCCTCAGGGAGCTATGCCTGGCAGTGCTGTGCTGAGGTTTGCACTTCTGGCTACTGGTACCCAAATTCACCATATTTTCACCAGGGAAACCAGTTTATTTCTGGTCCAGGCTTAGCAGCACTTTTTCAGCCTAACGTATTTATACCATTGCCATCAGCTGGCCTCACTTCCTGCATACAGGGGTCACAGAGCTTCCCCAGATAAATTAAGAGTGGCAAATCCATTACTATATCTTTGTTGTTACAGCGGCTAATTACATCCCATTATATTTCTCTTCAACATGGAGTGTGCAGGATTCCAGCTTTCCAGCTTCTGTGCCATGTTCCTTACCTGCTGGCTGAAAGTCTTCTCAAAACCCGCATTTTTTGTTTGAATTCCCCCGTGATCATGTCACCCTTGTGTTGCCTGTAGCAAATCCTGAAATGTCCTGTACAGGAGATGATGGCCCTCCTCTCAGCTCCAGCATCTTCCTCCAGCTGCAGATGCTGCAGCTGGAGATGGTGTTTCTGGTGGCCTGTGCATTTCCCTGAGGGTCTGAGTTGCCTCTGGATCCCACAGTGTTACCCCCCCAAAGACATTGTTGGGGCCCACAGTTTAGGCTGTAGGTGCATGGCCTGACCTCCCCACAGATTTCCTCCCTGAAGTGTTCTCTGTCATGGGTCGCTGCCTGGTGTATTCCCTAATTCCAATTCTATAGTAAGATTATTTTTCAGGTGACTCACTGTAATGGTTTTGGTTTGATAATTTAAGATTTCTTAAATGTTGAGATTTTTTTAATTAACGTGTTGATGAATGTGATGGGATTTAGTGTTGGCTAATTATTTATGTATTTATTTCTTGTTGTGAGATAGGAAGATAGGATTAGGAGAAGGGTAAAGTAGGCTTAAAATTTTAAAAGGGTACAAGGAAAATTTTATTTACAGTAATTAAAAGAAAAAAAGTAGTAAGAATTAAAACAAACTAGAATATTTTTCTAACTTTTTTTTACTGATAATGTAAAGAAATAAAATTTAAAATTTTTCGTTAGTTAATTACTTTTTAAATAGGTTGTTTGTTTGGGTTTTTCTTCTTATACAGAACTATGTCAGTCACTAAGCAGCATCAATTTTGACATCGTTGTGGCTTCTTTATCCAGGTCATCATCCTGGTGCAGATCCTTGTGGGATTGTGTTATTGTTTTCAAGCCCTTCCTTTCATTAACTGATTGGAAGATCAGGTGGAAGAGTTCCCAAGAGAGCAGGATGAGACCAGTGTTCCTAATGGGTTGATGTGGTGGGTTGAGCTTGGACTCATTGGAGTCCCTCACCTGGCCAGCGTGGAATGTGGGGAACTGGGATGGCGAACTGGACAGTGATTTGTGTGCAGTGCTGAAAGGGCTGATCCCAAGGGGATACCTGCTGGTTGCAAAAATGGTGGAGTGGTGGGTCATCTCCCAGAGACCTTCTGAGTGGTTGCTGATGACTTTTCCCTCCTCTCATGTTAGACAAATGACAAATCAGGGCTAGGAACCTGTCACCACCAACCACATTCTTCAGTTGCCTAAGGAAAATTTTATTGTTGGACAAGGCTTTTCCTCTGGACCTTCCCTCTGGGTAATCCAGCAAGAGATGTTGGGTATCTCCAGGCAGCTGTAAGGTGAACACATAGGGGTAAGGAGGCAAAGAGGACCTGAGAGGCAGTGGTTGGAGAAAGGCTCCAACAGGGTAAAGGACCCAGCAGTAATGCTTTCCCGACAGCCCGGGTGGGTAGAAGGGCTCAGGGTGAGGATGCTTAGGGAAAAGCTGATTCGCTGCGGGTCAGGTCAGTGCTGTAATTGCACGTCCGTGCGTGGACCGGGGAGCTCTGACACGGCTCCAAATCCGTCATTTTTCGCTGGAATGTAACGTTCCCAGGCCCTTCCTGGCAATCACTGACGGGAGTGGGCGCCCCCGGAGCGCTAGGAGCGGAGCCGCCCGCAGGCTCGCTCTGCCCTGGGTCTTTCCAGCGAGCGGAAGCGGGGTCGGGGGCGGCATGCGACAGAAGCGGCCGCCACATGGTCGCGCGCACTTCCCCGATCGTGCCCGTTGGGGGCGGGAGCGGCGGCCGGAACGGCCAATCAGGGGCGGGGGCGGGGACCCCAGGTCGGCCGGTAAGAAAAGCTAGCTTGGCAGCCACGGGCGAAGCAACCAATGGGCGCGCGCTCTTGAGGAAAGGCAGGTGTCGCCGCCAATAGGTTTCCGGTGGGGGGCGGTGGTAGGTTGGGGAAAGGCCAATGAGGTCGCTCTCCGTTTAACGGGCGGGCCGGGTGGCGAATTGCGGCGCGTGCGGGCGGGGCGCGCGGGGTGGCTAGCCGGTGCGCGCCGCCATTGTGGCCAGTTCGATCGGTATCGGGAGCGGAGAGCGGAGCTCAGCGAGCCCGGAGCAGGGAGCAGCCCCCCCCCCCCCCCCCCCCCCCCCGGGGCCCCCCCCCAGCCCCAGGGCTTGGGGCACTGTCAGCACCTGCTGCTCCAGCCACTGCTCCTGCTGGCCCTGACAGCAACACCCAAACTGGGGCTGATCCCGAGGGAGCAGCAGCAGGGCCTGGATCTGATCCCTGACTCTGGGACACGGCTGGACAAATGGCTCCA